CATTGCGTACATTTTAGCCTAGCCTTACACCTTCCGTTCAAACTTCTTGAACAACGTATCAGAAAGCTGAAAATTACACAATGTACTCAACGACTGGGGCCTGCATGTGGGCAGTTAATGGGGCGTAATGTTGTGAGATGCGTTACTGTAGCCCAAACGAAAACTACGAAGTCTCAACCAACGCCCAAGTTTGACCAAATGCAGGCCACGCGGTTGGTCAAGTTTGTTGCGGGGCTTCATGCAGAGCGCCACTTTACCCAAGCTGTTAGCTCCCTTTCCAGATTAGAAACAGGTGGCTCATGCACAAGGAAGAACCGCATGCTTACTGTCAGGAAGCTGACAAACAGCTCAGTAACAAGCGTTTAGGCCAACGCTATTGAAACAGCCTGAACTCGTTTTTGAGCTGCGCGTCGAGCCTCCCAGCCCAAGAAGATGGGTTTCCCCCACACAGCTGCCTGTGCATCTGCTGGGTCCACGGGCTGAGGAGCCAGCATGAACCCATTTCTGAAGCGTTTGACAGCTCAGTACAGCGCAATGGGTAATTCGCCAGGGAAGTAGGGACTTGTAGGAGGTAGCTCGCCTGCAATCTGCCTGGCCAAGACACCGCTTTGGTATAATTGCAACAACGCGTCGTGAGATCCGAGGCAAACTCCATCCAAAAAAAGCATTGGGCATCGTTTCTTCCTTCTGCGCAAGAAACGCCAGCAGAATACGCACACATACAGTTTGCAGACTCACTTGAAGACCTCCGTCTAAACCGAATATACTAAGCAAAGATGCTCAAAAGTACATATATATAATCATACACACACACACACACACACANACACACACACACACACATGCACACACACAAACACACACACACACTCACCCATACATGCATAGACACACACACCTAACTCGTCTGTACTGTGAAGTTCTAGCCTCGATGGCCACGCACTGTGGAAGATTCAAATCCAGTAACTGCAGAGCAGCCAGTTTCAGTTGCTGCGATATCTCTCACTCACCCATGAGTCAGCGCGAACCCCAGGATCGCTGGATGAGCCGTAACATCGATAGCCACAAGGGGGATACTTTGAAGCTGGGTCAGCATTTTGACGACGTTCATCGATAGGAGTGATTTAGGGTTGTCTACAGTGCCTTCCAAAAACAACACGAGCTTGTTCTTCTTCAACACAGGCAATAGCTGCGCGTCGACGCTCTCTCTCTCTGCCGTGTACGCGGCAATGCTACGTTCCGACAGGCGCTGATACACCCCGTCATTTGCACTGCCACTGGCGTTTAGAATCTCTTCGAAGGAATCAAACCGCGGCGAGCTGCTGCTGCGCAAAGGGCCCTCGGCGGCATTTAGGGCGGGCCCTTGGGGCCCTACTCTCAGCGGCGCAGGCGGAGTCTCCGCGCCATGGGAAACCTTCGTTGCAGTACTCAGGCGAAATACTACCTCTTTAGTGCAGGCCCTTGGCAATAAGAAGGGCCGAGCTAACCTGAACAGGTGAGCCATTGTGGGGGCCGACAAACGGGCGAACCCGAGTAGGGCGCACGACCTCTATTGCGTGACTTTGGAATGAAGAAATTATCTGAGTGGTTCAATTGTAGAGTTACAGCATGTTAAGTTCGAAGACAAAGGCGAAGGAAATGAGATACGTACCGTCTGAAGCGGTCTCGATGAGGGTCTGCCCTGCATGCACGCACGACGCAACAGCGCAGCTTGGGCCCCCTACTAAGTAGCGAGAAACTCCAGATATCGCCTGCAATCCATTAATTTTTAATGCAAATGCCCACCAAAGGTTACGCGAGACCTCTCGAAGCATGTGGATCTTATCCCTAGTGTTGAAGTTTGTACCAGCAATGGAATAGCTTCCCGAAACGATGCATATTCTAGCTGCGGGCAGCATCGTAAGAACTCCATCTACTAGGACATTGTCCGTGGCTTATTCTGATTTTATCAGTAGCCTCAACTATCGGAGGGAGCTTAGCTGGCACCCCGTACTTGCTCTCCTCGCATCGCGCAAACAGCAGCCTCCTACAGCCACACCACTGCACAGATCTGGCGGCGCCGCCGCGCTTCCTTTCCTTGAAGCAACACGGCATGATGATTGCTCGGACGTTCCGCTCAGCAACCCCCATAATGGCTGTTTACGTGGAACTCGGGGTTTCGCGACAAAACGGCAAAGGCTGGATGAATACGATTCTTATGAAGTGACGGTCGATCCCAAGAAAGTCCCGCATGACTTCTGCAGAGTTCCTATACATATGCAGTCAGCAGGGGAACTGAAGGACACCGTCACTGTGGCTGGTCGTATGCGCCTACCCAACCCAAATTTTTGGTTGCGGTGTAGTTCAGCTGTAAAGGATCTGTCTGAAGGTTTCCGCTCCCGGGAGATCGTCGCGATTCTTAACGCCTACGCCAAAGCAGGGTATAGAGATGTCTCCTTATTCGGCCATCTGGGGCAGCTTCTCGCACTGCAAGCGCACGACTGCCGCGCGTCAGACCTGGCGGTGGCTCTGCAAGCCTTCGCGCGCCTTAACATTCCCAACAGTTCTCTCTTTGACCTGCTGGCTGTACAGTGCATTCGAAAGCTCGACGACCTTGGTCCTCGGGGGATCGCAACTGTAGCTTCTGCCTACGGGGGAGTCAAGCACCCACATCCTCAGCTGTTTGGCAGACTCGCCCAGCAAGTGGAAGTACAGGCTGAGACCTTTTGTAGCATAGACCTTATCCAAACGCTTTGGGGGTGCGCGCGTGTCTCGTACAGACATTCGAAGATGCTACACCGCTGCGCAGACCAGATCGTACACCGACTCGCCACATGCACTGTCACAGAGGCCCTAACAGCGGCAGAGGCGTTTGCCGTTCTCCGCTTTTACAGAGCGGACTTGGT